CCTGCATTACTGACAGGTAAAAATAGTCCATTCTCAAATGAAAGATGCCTTGTAAATAGATGATTATTAATTTTGGTGGGATTAATTATTAATATATAGTTAATTTCTCTATTCAGGCTCTAGCACTTGCTTCAGCCATGTGCTTTTGTCAAAATGATGAGAGCCTTGAAGCATTCTGTTTTTCTTTTTATTTGGATGTGGGGAGGAACTGACATGGAGTGGAATTTATTGAGGTGTAAATGTAGTTATCTAAATAAAAGATTATTGTTGTAAAGTCTATCAGTAAAAATTTAGTGATTATAAACAGAAGTGTCAGGCTTTTTCCAAGTCCCCCGGCTCCTATTGAATTAGAGTAGATTTTAAAATGTTCTTTTAATGGAATTTTTCATGAATGAATTTAATTGGGCTTTGCTGTATATGTATTTTTCTAATATAGAAAAAGGACAGAATAAAAAGTTACAAAAAGAAAGGAAGGAAGGAAGGAAGGAAGGAAGGAAGGAAGGAAGGAAGGAAGGAAGGAAGGAAGGAAGGAAGGAAGGAGGGAAGGAAGGTAGGAAGGAAGGAACCAAACAACCTGACCAGAACCCTGCTGATGTTTTATAGTGCCCCTAAAATCCTACTCATATTTTATCAATTTTTCCCAAAATGACAGTGATGTTTATAGAGCACTCACAACATGCTATATACAGTCCTAGTTTTCCTGCTCCCACAGATCTAATCACTTTACTATTCCTCTAACAAAACAAAAATTGTATGCAATCGTGCAAAAACCTTGATAATCAGAATCATAATAGATACTAGAGCATATTAACAAAAAGTTTATGTTTTCTACCAAAATTTAAAAATCAAAATTAAAGTAGAAATTTAGAGATCAAGCCTATTTAATTGGGATTGCATATGAAGCCCAGATTGTCACACCCTTTCTCCCCTGCTTCTCCTACTTGTCAACCCTGTCCAACTCTTCCCAGAATCTATAAAAAATTCATCATAATTGATAGACTTCAGGTATTATTACTGAGACTTACCTGGTCCAAATTAATCCAAATGGTTAAGTTAGTTCAGCCTTATCTCGAGTTTCATAATTCAAGAGTTTATGCTATTTATGAAACCCCTAATCAAAAGTTTCAAGCAATACCAACCTCAAGTATACATTACTCATGTCACCCTCTGCATGGGAGATGGCCTAAATTATACACATTAAATATTGATGTATTGATTCATCCTCTTGGAAAAAAAATAGCTCCTTTTAGCGGACAGTAAGGTCCAATTTGGATGTATTCCTACAAGTTCTGTGACACATGGCCAAATATCTCCCAACTCAGAAAAGTCATCCATAACTTATGGTCTCTTGGGGGGGTAGGCTAAATGACTTTCTTCCTAGTTTCTTTCATTCACAATTTCTCCCTATGTATACTATTATTATTATTATATTATTGAGTACCACCTATATGTGCTGGACACTGTTCTAGGTGCTTGGAGTATATAAGGGAATAAAACAAACATCACTACCTTCAAGGGACTTACATTCTAGTAGAGGAGATGGATGGTAAACAATAAACAAGAAATGAGAATTGAGTGTTTTTCATGAAGCTTAACCCAGATCTATTTATTCAACCCTCTCAATGATTCTGTGAGTCAGTTAATTTCCTTTCTTGCTAAAACCAGCTACAGTGGATTCTTTTTTCAGCAACTGAACCTCCAGTAATATGATTAGCCAGACTGCTTTGTGAAGTCTCCACCTCAATCTCTCTTTTAAAACTACCATAATGGGGTATATCAGTCAACATCCTTAGTTTTCAAGTGACCACCTCATTTAAGGGAGCTATTATAAAATCGCTAAACGGATATTGGGCAGCTCCTAAAATGGCCTGGAGGGCTAGAGATCCAGGCTTGGAAAACAGACAGGACCAAACAGAAACCAAGCGAACAGAACCACTATGAAGCAGGTTTCCACTGTTCACTGGTTCCCACTCGGCCAGTTGCATCCTAGGCTTTATTTTTACTATTTGCCCAAGTCCATTGAGGCAGGACACTCACACAGCATGATACATGAAGTGGGTTTATTACTTGCAGACAGGCAGCAAGGGACAACAGAAGCCTAGGATTTATGCATAGCTAGTCCACCAAGGCTCAGGAAAGCTGCTCGGGGGAGCTGGGGCCCCATTTGCATGTGCCCCATCTGTACTGCCTCGGAGGGACCCATGGACTGAGCCTTCCCTGGGCTGTTCTAACCTGGGGAGACATGCTTGCTGGGCTAAAGTGTTGAAGGACATCCTATTCTAGAAGGGACTGGAACCAAGCCCTGGCTGCTTCAGCCAGTCTCTTCTTATCTCGGGATCTCATCCCCAGCACAATCCACAGTTATTCTTGAGAATTTACAAAGCAAGAATGGGAGGAGGAATTGGGTGGGTCCAGGGCCACCGAGAGAACCGCCCTGCAACTGCAGTCTAAGGTCTGAGATAAAACAGGGTCTCTCATGCTGCTGACTCCAAGACCCTGCCCCCTGCTGCCTAGGGACAGTGATAATATCCACAGCTGAGCAGGAATTCTGTTCTTTACACGGGTAGTTTACACCAGCAACACCCTCAATGGACTCGTCTGATTGGACAACCCCAGATGCCTTCCCCCAGCTGACAAAGTTATTTTTCAGCTTCTCAAAATGGGAGAGGCTGTGCCAGGTGTCATATGCTGATGAATTCCCTGCATTTAGGAAGAGTGTTTCAGGGCTGGGCAGCTCCTCCAAAATGACAAACATCTTTTACAAAGAACTTTCTCTAAACTTCCTCCTTAAATGTGCTGTCTCTTTTTTACCAAGTCATATCTGTACCTACTATAAGCCCTTCACACACCAACTGTAAGACACCTGGCAAGGCTTCTTGAAATTCAGATGTGAAACTGAGGAAGAATAACACGATCACAAGGCTCAGCATGTGGCCAAGTAGCCAGGTCGTGAAAGCCCTGGTACTTCTGGCCATGAGGCAGATGAAGATGTAACCCCATCACTCTGGTCCATTGGATGGTATTGATTTAGAACACCTGTACTCCTGCCATCAAGAACACATTTGAACTCAATAGAAAGCAAGTGTGAGAAATAAAATTGAAGGTAAAGGGGGGTCTTGTACCTCAGTGTTTCTCCAATTCATCATCCTGTACAGAATTCTATAGTCAACGAAGCCAGACCGCTACAATATGAAAAGCCTCAGAGCTCCTATTCTTGGAAAGCATCCCATCCCTTCACCCTCACCTGCAGGCTGAGCTAGGTCCCCCTCTAGATGCCCCCCAAGCGGGCTGTTCTTACCTTTATCATATTGTTCTCCTCTTACTGTAAATGTCTGTTTATTCTGTTCACTTCTCCGTCAACCCTACTGGACTACGAGCATTTTGAGAAAATAGATTATGTATCTCCAGCACAAATGGCAGTACTTGGCACCCATAGGAAATAAGTACTATTTGTTAAACAAATGAATGGAATAAAACTTCAGTGTCATGACTCCAAAAGGCAGAAACTAAAAATAATAGGTATTTCTGTATTGCTCCTTACCAACCTTGGAGCATGAGTCAGAGTAAGTTCTTAGCTATTGTTTTTGCAAAAGTTGACCTTGCAAGTCAGGATGCACCCACGAACTTCAGAAAAGAGTCTTTGAAAACACTGAAGCTATGGGCAATATACGTAACCTTAACACTTGTACCCCCATACTATGCTAACAATAAATAAATAAATAACCCCAGGATGTCAAAGCATCAGAATTTAAAAAAATTTTTTTGAAAAAAAACATTTAAAAAATAAAAACACTGAAGCTTTAGAACAACACCAAGCTTTGGGAGATGGTTCTCGTTGAAAGTCCTCTCCATCTGGGCACCACACTCCTTTGCTCTTGGCCCTGTCTGTGTTCCTGAGTCCCAACCCCAGTGCATTCCATCCCCACCACCGTCACACAAATCTTTGCATCATCCTAGGTCCCACCTTCCTCTGCAAGTGAATGAGCTACACCTAAAGACCAAAAATGACAAATATCCCTAGACTTAAAATCAATTATTTTTGAAAACTTTTTCCCACCCCTCCAAGGATTCATCTGGTGGGACTTCCAGCGAAATATCTGGTCTCCCAGACACTGTTCTGACTAGTTAGAATAGAGGTGATAGCTGCCACCTTGCATCAGTTACCTTTCTCTGCATAACATACCCCACAAAACTTAGTGGCTTCGTAAGAGCCATTTGTTATCACTCACTAGTCTGTGCTGCTGCTAATCCAGGCCAGCATTGGCTGCTCTTGGCTGGGCTTGCTCATGTGTCTGTGGCCAGCTGGCTGGTCAGCTGGGCACTGGATGGTCTAGGATGGCCTGTTCACATGTCCAGAAGATGACGTGCAGTGGGCTGGAGCCATGCCAGTGACCCAGCCCTGGTCTCTCATCATGCAGCAGGCTAGCCCAAGCTTCTTCCCAGGACTGCCATAGGAGTGGCCCTGTGTGCAACAAAAGAGGGCAAGCCCCAGTGTTCAGGCACTTCTCACATCTCTGATTGTCTCAGATTCGCTATGATAGCACTGGCCAAAGCAAGTTATATGGTCAAGGTCAGAGTCAGCATAAGAGGGCACTTCCCAGGGACGTGGGCACAAGGAAACGAAGAACAAACTAGAGGCCATTACCACAATAATCTGCTGTATATCCTGGGCCCAGGGTGATTTCATTTCTCTAGCTCTTTAAAACATTCACCCATCAGATATACATGATGTAAAGCTGATGTCTAATTTGGGGGTTGGAAGGTTTCTCCACATTTCCGGTTTCCTTTGTGTGTAACTCAGACGGTCACTTGTGTGCTAGAACAAGGCCGACAACATTTTACACACTACCCCAGAAAGTGAGCTTTTGGAATGAAGTGTTCACTTGCATGTTCATTTGCATGAGCCTGAAGTTCATAAAGGAAAGATTCTGTGAGTCCCATTCCCTATTGTGTCCCCAGATTCTAGAACGGGGACTAATATATAGTATGAGGTAATTCGTTCAGCAATTTATTTTTCTTGCACTCTTACTGTGTGCACTGTGCCAGCCTGGTGGTGCAGAGGTGAAAGATCAAGTTCATGTCATCAAATAGGTCACAACCAAACAGGGAGAAAGGTGAGTGAACTGATAATGATGTTATATGTAACAAATGAGACAGGAGCAAAAAGGTGCAGGGTGCTAAGGGTGGGTTGGAGGAGCTAAGAACAGAGCAGAGAGTTCAGGTGAGGGGCCTTTGCCACAATCTAGTCAAGAACTGATACAGGTCCAAAATAAGGAAGGGACTAAGGGGGTGGAGCTGGGATGAGAAATGAAGGGGGGGGGAAATCGACAGATCTTGGGGATGGGTTATAGTGGAAAGGGAGCATGAAGAAGGAATCCCAGATGACAACCAGGTGACTGGGTGGTTGGTAGTGCAGAGCATAGACAATGTTCCCCTATATTGTAAGCCCAATTGCCAATAACAATACACAGTTTCAAACTTGCTACTCTATTGTTTTGATAACATTTGTAACTAGAGAAAAACCTCTCCATACACATATATGATTTTCCTTAGCCCTGCGCATCTTAAACAATCCTTTAAACTCACAAGTCTTCAACAACCTTGTAATTGCCTTTTCAATCTTTGTACCATCTCAAACATGTAATCAAACCTACACTTAGTAAGATTATTTTTCTATACAGTAATATATTTTTATTGTCCATGTCCACTGCTAGAAGCCAACAATCTTTTTTTTATTGCTATTATCTTACAATCATAAAAGCTCTGTGGTTGGGTTATGATTGCTTCAAATGAAGAAACTTAGTCCAGGTAATTTCTCACGACAGAAGTCCACGAAGAAGGTTAAGTCTGAGATCAAGCATATCAGATAATGCATCCAAGTTCAGACATTTGATTTATTGCCTATCCTTCCTAATGATTAAATATTTGGCTGCCCCATTGAAACTCCACGTATATTCATAATATGTTCAAAGCAGGTTAACTTAACTGTACACTAACTTTCCACCTTAATCCTCTGGAGAAAAACATCAGCCTACATACAGCCCATAACAAAGAAGGATTGGTTATTAAAATCTAAGAAAGAGTAGAAGCAACTAATGAGGATGTGAGCATCAAATTTCATTCCCTAAACACCAGGTTCTAGCAAAGTTTTTCTTTGTGGTAAACGAACTCAAGAACAGCTGTCAAAAATATGGCACAGCTAACCCTGTAACAAATTAAAAAGTACCATCTGCAGGCACTGCAGTCTGCTTACACAGATGTGCCCCAGTACAAAGCCCAGAGAAGAGAAAGCGGGTTGGCGGTGCTGAGGTTAACGGGTCTGAAAGCAGACAGCATATGTTTCTCCAATAAAACGAGCACTCCACTACAGAAGCCAACAATTTGTAACATTTATAAATCGTTACCGAACCTCTAATGCACCTCTAAATACCTGCATTCATGTTTTTAAAGTTTCTTTAACAGTAAGTAGATCAATTACAGAGGACTACAAGTTCAGCAGCTTTCCGTGTACCATTAGTCGTTCGGTTTAGCTGAAGAAGGTCCCTACACTATCTTTAATCTGTTTCTCCCTCTACCCCCCGGCCCCCATCCAGTAAGGCCTCTCATTAAAACTAACTCTTTTGAAATATGCAACACTGGCTAGCTTGTCCCACTTGCTAATGGTCCTGAATTGATTCTTAATTAGTTGCAGTTTTGGAAAGAATCCAATTAAAATAGTGGGGGATTCCAATAGCAGAAAAGAACTGGCTAATATGTGTTAGTCTCTGAGCTGCTGATCTTTGCATTAAACTTGCTCAGGCAAAAGGCAGCTATGCAAAATATGGCAGGATTCAAATCATACTAAACATGTTCAGGTTTTAAACAGAAACCTTCACATGGTAATTTATTCTCTAGCCATAAAACATGATCAAAGAAAGGCAGCCAAATGCTGTTAGAAAAATTACATTCCTTCATTCCACTTTCTCTCTCTTCCTAAAAGGACAGGTTACTAATTCAGGGGAAGACAGCAGAATCTTTTCAATAAATTATACTATATTTTTTATTTGCTGTATATTTTCCAGCCCTCTACTGAAATTCCAAAATAGGAGGGGAAGCTCAGATTGGGGAGAACTGGAAAGAAAGGTAGAGTCATGGGGAGGGAAGCCTCTAGGAAGCTAAATAGGATATTTTCCTACATTCTTTCCTAAAGCAAAGAGTTGCTACCAGTAAAATTTCCACTGTTGTTTATGAGGGCAACTGGAGGTCATTTGACAGGTATGGCTTTTATGGTTCAGATTTAATTATAGAAAAGCGAGGGCTCTGAAAAGCAAGGTCTCAGGAAGCCCAGGAAGGAGAAGGACTCGTGCCACTGCTGGTAGGTGACAGTCACGTGACCAGCTTTTGTATTCAGCAGTAATAACTCACTGCCCGGTACTGGGATGGAGCCCAGCTTGGCTATCCCCTGAGGAGCTTCCACCAGGCGTGGATTCACGGAGTCTTTGATCTGCAGATTAACATGATCGGAGACACAGGCTTTGTCTTTTGCAAACATCCTCAGTCCCTAAATTTGTATCCAGTGAAAGGTTGAGCCCATTTTTATTTGAGTAATGAATTGCAGTAATTAATGTACACATTGATTTTTTCAAGTCTCCCTAAAGGCTATTTCCATTTTTAATTTATAGGAAATACATACCATTCCCTTAATAAGAGACTGTTCTATATTTCAAAATACATATGGAAGAAGAGACAAGTCAAGCAAACATCAAAAAGACAAAACAAGTGATATTAAAGATCGGCAGTGACTCAATCAAGCAAAATCACTCTTTAAAAACCACTAAGGAAAGGATTTTGCTGTGGAATTTCAATATCTATGCTGGATCTGTTCAAACATTTCAGTATGCTCTTTAAAGAAGCAGTCATTTGAAGTGTTCAGTATTTGTGTGGATAAATATCTCCTTCCTTTCAAACTAAGCTTTTTTCCAACTACTAATAAAAGGGACATCCTGGCCAAAAAAAAAAAAAGGAGAGAGATGAAGAAGAGAAATCTGAATGAGATAAAATTGTTGTGAAATTTTTTTCCATTTTTTTTATTTCAGCATATTATGGGGGTACAAATGTTAAGGTTAGGTATTATTTCCCATGCCCCCTCTTCCCCCTCAAGTCAGAGCTTCAAGTGTGTTGTGAAATTTTAATTTTGTTTTTAAAAGAGGTCAGATCATTTCTTCCAATGCCCCTGACAAAACAGCACTTAAAACAGCTTAAAACAGAGAGGGTGGGAGAGAGAGAAGGCCCCTTATCTGAGCTGTACCTTAATGATGTATCCTTAGGGCTGGAAATGATGGGATTTTTCTTACTCGAGAAATAATTCTTTTCTTGCACTTAATAAATACCAATACAGACAGAAAAGTGTGTGTGTAACACAATCTGATATTTATCTGAAAGTCTCTGGTACCGAATAGTAGAAAATCTCCTACAGCAGGTATTCAGCAATGGCACGGTGGCTGGAAGGAGGGTTTGGAGGCACATGCAAACGAAAGGATACCTGATTAACCTTTCGCTGACTCTGAGCCACGTGATGCGCAGTGAGCCTTCTTAGAGTGATGGCTTTAGAAGAAGATGTTAAATTTAACCTCTGGCGCAATGATAAATTGACAATAAAAAATTCAATGGCTTGGTAATTACCAATCACTTTGGACATCGGCAACATTTTTCAGTTCTGTCACTGCGCATTGGCACAAAAGCTTCAGCTGAAATTCTCTCGATCTTCCTCTTTTTAACTTTGTTTTCATGATGCAGATTAAATCTGCCACCCTATTACTGATTCATTTTCCTAATTTTTCATGTCTGCACCATGCCCCAGCTGCACCAGGCTGATAATTGTGGAGCCCAGCCCTGATGATTAACATCAGAAGAATTAATTATGCCTGCCATTAAAATTCCGGGTTGCACATGGTGATCAAGAAAAATTAAGTTTCTCTAGGCCTCTAAATCATTTCACCTTTGCAGGGAAGGATAGTGCCTGGACAGCTAGGCTGCAGCCTGTGTTCCTGCCGAGGTCGAAACCACATGCCCTTTGTGTAATTCAACAAATGCCTTCCTAGTTATTTTTTCCATGATTTGGACTAAAAGATTTAATGCTTAGAAAAATAAAAGAAATCTGAAAAGGTATTCTTGATCCTTTGCTTTGAGAGGGGAGAAAAATTCTTTTTCAGAAGCTCAGCTGCTGTTTCTGAAATATCTGTTATACTAATTTGCAGATGAACACATCCCATGGAAAAAAGAAATGTGCAGCCCTTGGAAACAGTTGATGAAATGAGAGTGGAAAGGGGGTCTAGCTTTACAGTTGTTATAAATGGGAAGAAAGGAAATGTTCATTCAAGTAGACAAAGGCACTGGCATTTCTTGGAAATAAATTGATAACAGAATAAAAACAGATTCCTCAGATCTTTAGGCTAAATAATAATGAGTAAAAGAAGCCTGTTGACTGACGCATTTCCAAAATGATTGTTGCATGAGAAACTCAAAATGTATTCAGTCTAGCCTAAGGTACGAAATTTACTAGAGCTATAAAGAGTAAGATGATATGCATTTATCATGTTCTTTTTCTACTCTATGTTCCATTTTTAAATTACCATAATAATGTATATTACAGGAATGGCTTTAGAAGACTACAAAGGGAGTCATATTTTGATGAACGGATGTAAATATCTTATACAAAATGGTAAATCTCTCATTCACCTCTATGCAGAGAGTATGCATAAGCTATGCATCATATCTGTTTCATTTATTATATTTAAGAAGTGATATCATAAGACAACTATTTCAATGCAGATATTCTTGTTAGTTTTTACTGACAGTGAATTTATAGAGTCAAGTTAACCATTCACCCATCCCAGGTAGGGGAGGCAGTAGGGAGGGTGGTAGGGAACAATGTAAAACTAACTCTACCTTTCTAAAAGCTGTATTGGAAAATTTTTTTAAGCATGTATATTTTGCAATTGGTTCACTTTCGCAGAAAATCTTGGACTTAGTGACACGATAAAATCCCAAATGTAATGATTTAGTAGCTTGAACTGAATATTTCTTGAAGTAACTACCTTCTGTACTAATTACCCAGGATCATTTAATAACACAG